TTACCTAAGATGGAAAGCAAACCATCCATTTCAACAACAGGCCGTTGCCAAAATGCAATAATTCAGTTTTATCAGTAACTACAAAATTTTCTAATGGAAATGTAGAATGAAATGAATTATGAGCATGTTTGGATAGTTGATTGTAAATAACTGATAAGCATTAACTACGGATGGCAGTTAAGTGTTTGGATAGAAGTGCTGAAACGAAAAGTGTTTTTGTTTATTACCATGGAAGTGCATCCCTAAGCCAAAAACAGCGAAAGAGATAAAGCAGAGGACAGCAAGTGAAAACACCCAAAACAGCAATCCGTTGTTTGAAAACCGGCTCAACTTTCGTCCTCCTCTTCGAGAAAGTTCAGTATTGTTCTTATAGAGACCCATCACTCACAGTCACAACAACATCCCTCCAAAAACTCAAACATCAAACTCCTCATCTGTCATAATCAAATGGATCAAGAAAATATGAACTTGTTCAAATACATCGAAACATTATTACATAATGCAGAAATGTGTAACATTTGAAAAAAGCATTGTACCTATTCATTTCCAATTCAGATGCTTATAAATAAAATTGGGTTTAATTGAATTTCATGAGAGAGAGAGCGGTCTGCATCGATATTTGTAAATAAATTTGTCTTTTAGATCGCTTTTACTTGTCGGGAAGAAAAAAAAAGGATCGTTCTTTTACCAGAGTAGTGTGATCTGAGTATAACAGACACAGACCGTCGGTGGGCTCGCGCCGAGTAGAAGCTGAGCCACGATGAGTAGCTCCTTTTACACAATTTTGGACAATCTGAGTAAAACTTCTGTTTTCTTTTCAATTATGACATTCTTTCTATTTTAAGATGTCTTCAAATAATTTATAACTTCACTTTTATTTGTCCACTATTCTAAAAAATTTTACTTATACACTTTCACGTATCGGAGAGAAAATTAAATTGCTTCTTCCTGCCCTTAATGGACAAGTAATCAATAATGGACAAGTAAAAGTGGTCGAAGAGAGTATAAATTTTCCTTACATTCTACTGTCTCTCTCCAATTCAATTCGTGTGGCTAAGCTACTCTTTTAAATGTATTTTAAAAATGAGATATTTTTATATATATTAGAGTAAATTAATTCAACATTCACTTTTTATGTGACATATTTAAAATCGTGAGTTTTCTTTTTCCGAATAAAATTACAAAATTCCAAGGGTACTTTTCGAATGTTACACATTTACTTCAAAATTACAGAATAAAAAAATGATCGACTTAAGACTAGACAGAGTGATTATATGTTTTCTTGATATAAAAAAGTTAGTGCCACGCCCCAAACATGGGGGCGTGGCTGGCACCCGGTGCCATACTTGCCCGAGCAAACCACTCTGTAACTCATGATCATTCGACGAAAACTAGAACATACATAGGTTGAATTGGCTGAACTCGGACGTTTGGACATAAGAATTGTAAAATTCCAAAAAAAAGTGAAAAAAAAATTCAAGTGAAAATGGTATTTGAAAATTAGAGTTGTGTTTGGACATAAATATAATTTTGGGTTGTTTTTGAAGTTTTGCGAGTAATCTGAGTGAAAATTTTGAAAAATAGTTTTTTGGAGTTTTTCAAATTTTCACAAAATTCCAAAATTCATCTTCAAGTGAAAATTGGAATTTTTATGGCCAAACACTGATTTCGAAAAAAAATAAAAAAAAAATCGAAAAAAATTGAAAAAATTCTTATGTCCAAACGGGCTCTCATTCTTTCTGTAACTAACATGGGCCAACATGGCCACAACTCGTAATCTATAACTATAAGTGGAAAAACGATATATCAACGATCCATCGTACATAAAACATGAATACACATAGGCCGTCAAGGCCTCTGACATACTGTACATAATAAACCTGTGTCTGCAAGCCTTTAAGAGTATTTGACATCGAAACGGGACAGGGTCCCAGCCTATTCATAAGTTTGTAGCAAAACTCTTACACGATGACTTATAAACTCGGGTGCACTCCAAATGAAGTGGAGTCTTACCGATCTTTCGTTGAATGCTAACCTCGTCTACTATGAGGACTCATCAAATTAATTACCTACACCTGCAGCATAAGTGCAGCGTCCACAACAAAAAGGACGTCAATACGAATAATGTACCGAGTATGTAAGGCAGAACTAAAACATAACAATAAGTCAATATCAATTAGAGAGATATAAGAATCAACCTGAACCTCTAAAGTGTCATTGAGAGTCATGATATGCATACTATTTATACTTATATATTTAATGCCTCTCTTTGGGACTATTATCCATATCGTAACGTGATTGCCAACTGATCAGTCGTAACTGCCCGATAGGCCATAACACGGTGGTAAATGCATAACTGCCCGACCGGCCGTAACTCGATGGTAAATACGTAACTTGCCAACCGGCCATAGCTCGGTGGTAAATGCATGACTGCTCGATCAGTTGTAGCTCGATGGTAAATGCGTAACTGCCCAACTGGCCGTAGCTCGGTGGTAAATACATGACTGTCCCATCGTAAAATGGTGATTTGATGGTGAATTTATAAAAAGCAACCCGATGTACTAAAGCTCTCGCCATGCGCGAGGTTCGGGAAAGGGTCAGACTACAAGAGTTTATTGTATGTAGTCTTACCCTGTATATCTGCAAGAGGTTATTTCCATGACTCGAATCCATATCCTCTTCGTCATATTGCAACAACTTTACCAGTTAGACCAAGGCTGGAAATCTATAGCATAAAAATATAAAGGGCCAAATACATGTACGGACTCTTAAAGTTGCCCGAAAACCCCATTTATACACTTGAACTTAGCCTTGTTCTAATTGAATACAATACTATGTTCATACACATCCCTATTAGGCACAACTAGCTGACTTGGCACATAACGTGGGTCGCACAATATTTGAGCGCATGAATGTTATTACATGTGGACTCTAACGGTAATATTTTTAAAAAATAAAATAAATATATACCTATTTACACCCACCTGATTTTATATAAACCCTAATTTCGATTGGGGTCCCCCGTTCGTTTGTTTTTGCCTTCTTTGTCCAAATTAGGTTGAGAGACATCTTCCTCTTTCCAATTCTTCTTCCTTTTTTAAGAATTCTTCTATATTTCTTTCTAATTCTTGCCTTTCGTCAAAACAGTTTTAGTATCGAATTCGTTGAAGGCACCTTCCACTAATGTTGTATACTGTAATTGTGATCAATTAGCAAACTTCAAGATATCATTGACTGATCGTAACCCCAGGTCGAAGGTTTTACGGTTGTAAAATTAGAAAGGTAAGCCTAATTTATAGTAATGTCGTTATAATCTATTCATTTTGATGATTCTTCTTAAATTTTCATCTTCCGTTTCTTGGTTGTATTTGTAAAAAATGGATGGATGCAATTACTTTAGATGGTTTGATAAAGACTTCTCTTCTCAAGAAAATAGGGTGATTTGTGGTTTGTTGAAAAAAGTCAAAATTTTGGAGAGGGATCGAGCAAGAAAAAAATGGACTATCATACTTCTTACGGCTTTGTTGGTGCTGATTTTATGGATATGGCTACGGAGTGATTGTTCTGTTTGTTAAGATTAGTGGCAGTAGTTGGGTGTTCTTTTTGCTGGTTTGTATTAGTATGGCTGATTGTATTGGGTATTGTCTGTTGTCATTTTGTTTAAAAGGAAGCTGCAGACTTGTTTGAATTAGTACAATGGCTGGCCTAGTACAAGCTTATGTAATTTTGTTTGAATAAGTTTAATGGCCGAGTCTGAATTTGTATGTAAGAAATTTGCAACCTATTTTGTCTTAAATCAATTGCTGCCTTGTTTTTTATAGCTGTTGTGTGATATTGGCCAAAAAGAAATGCAACATTTAAGAGAAGTTGATCACAATTTGGTGCAAATTCAAACTAGATTAGAGTAGCTCTGATAGGTTACAAGTACTTTGGTCATAAGTACTTTACGTTATGTTTTGATGATCTAACAAACTTACTATCCAGAATCAGATAAGGAACCTGTTACACATTTACAAGACCTTAAGATCACAAGGTTCTAGGTTAGGATTCAGCGTGGGATATGATTCAACTCTTCAGAGTGGAAGGAACAGCTGAGGGAACAAGTCCCTACCAGTTCCTGAGGGACTGTATGAAGTCAACTCTCCAGTTGGAAAGTTGCTGCCTGCACACGCTACAGTGCAGGAACGGTGCAGCAGTCAACTTTCCAAGGAAGAATTTTTACCTACCTTTCTTACATCATTGTAAGTGATGTCACACATGTATATATACAATCAAGGAAGGTAAAATATATTCACTTGAACACTTAGAGATTTCACTCAAGCTCACTCATGTGACTATCCAGCAAGCAAGTTTCAAGTGCTTCAAGAACAAAGAACAAAACAACTACGGACCAGTTCCCACATCGAGTCATTGTATGTCCTTAGTTGAGTTGTAACTTTGTAATAGTTCTTCAATTGTAGTTCCTACCTAGCTTGTTTAGAAGCATTCTGTAGGAAACTCTTTGTAAACCTTAAACTTGTGTGTTTGAGTCTTGGCTAGAGTTAGTCATGTTGTAAAGTCTTTGTACTAGAGTTATTACAAATTGGCTTGTAATAGAGTATTACAAGTTAGTGAGGGATTAAGAGGTTAATTCCTAGGTTGCATAGATTGTAATCTAAAAGTTTCTCAGTAGTAAAGTTGAAATCCTACAAGGGTAGGTCGTGATTTTTAATCCCGTTGAGTTGGGATATTTCCATGTAAAATTCCTCTTGTCATTTACTTACTGCTGTGTGCGTACGTTCTAGTGGAACTAGTAGAGAACCTGGTTCTCTATAGAGTTTGGCGGACCCTTATATTCTATCAATTGGTATCAGAGCAGGTTTTTTCTATCAGGTTAACACCTAGAAAGAATCCTCGTGGTTGCTCCTCCAAACTTCGAAGAAAGACGATCTATTTACAGACCACCTAGGTTCAATGGAGAGTATTATGGATGGTGGAAAACTAGAATGCATAACTTCATCATGGTTGAATATTCCGAGCTATGGGATGTCATATGTGATGGACCCTTTGTCCCTACCAAAAACCTTGGTGACCCACCTGTAACCATTCCCAAGACAAGGAAAGAATTCAATGATGCAGATAGAAAGGCCATAGAGAAGAACTTTCGTGCAAAGAAAATTCTGGTGTGTGGTATTGGTCCTAATGAATACAACAAGATATCAGCATGTCAGTTAGCCAAAGAAATCTGGGAAGCCCTTCAGACAGCTCATGAAGGAACAATACAGGTCAAGCAATCCAAAATCGACATGCTCACAACTGAATACGAGCTCTTCAGGATGAAAGACGATGAATCTGTCCAAGAAATACATACGCGGTTCACCTCCATCATTAATGAGCTTCACTCTCTTGATGAAACTATTCCAAGAAACAAGCTGGTTAGAAAAATCCTCAGTGTGTTGCCCAGTTCTTGGGAAAGCAAAGTGAATGCCATTACAGAGGCGAAGGACTTGCAGGAGCTAACTATTGATAAGCTTGTTGGCAATCTAAAAACATATGAAATGAAGAAGAAAAGGGACAGTGAAAGAAGAGAGCCCAAAAGGGAGAAGAACCTGATCCTCAAGACAGAAAGCAATGATTCAAGTGGTGAGGATGGTGATATGGCATACCTGACAAGAAGATTCCAGAGGATGGTTCGCAGGAATGGAGGCATTCCAAAAGGAGGAAGTTCTAGCAAGCCAAAGAATTATGACCTCTGTCATAAACGTGGCAAACCAGGACATTTCATCAAAGATTACCCTCTCTTAACGTAGGATCAGTACAAGAACAACTCTGACAAAGCAGCCAAAAGGAACTCGGTTCCTGATAGACGCTTCAATAGAAAAAATACCGCTGACAATGTCGTGAGACAAGCTCTTGCTGCATGGGGAGATTCATCAAGAGAATCTGGAGAAGATGATGAACCAGGTAGTAGCTCTATGATGGCAGTAGAAAGTGAAGCAACCGAGTATGATTCAATTTTTGCTTTGATGGCCCAGCCAGATGATGAAGATGACGATGATGATGAGGTAAATTTTCTGGATGTTCAGAGAAATCTGAAATCTTATTCTCCTAAGAAACTCATGTCTTTGGCAAATGTGTTAATCGATGCTTATCATAGTCTTATAAATGACAAAGATGTCTTAACAATTGAACTATGAGAAGCAGAACAGTCTAGAGATGACCTAGTAGTAGTTGCAGTTGATTTAAGGGAGACAATTGAGAACCTGAAGAAAGAAAAAGATGGCTTAGGTGAGAAAGTTTTTAGTATTGAGCATAAGAGAGATGACCTCCTAGTGGTGGTAATGGATTTAAAGAAAACAATTGGGGAACTTGAAATGGAGAGCAGGTATGAAAGTTCTCAAAAAGGAAAGGAAGTAGCAAGCGAGGCACACATTGAGCTTGAAAGTAAGTTAAATTCAGTGAAGTCTAGTCTGTGTGTTGAGCTTGAGAGAAACAAACAACTTCAGGAAGAACTAGCTAGAGTGAAGAGTGATCTTGAAAAATCACTCAAACGGACCTGGTCCTCTGATGCTATCACTGCCATACCAACAATAGAGGAAACAGGCAGGGGATTGGGTTTCAAAGGGAAAAGATTTCCTATAACCCTCATAGCAAGTACGTTACTGTACCTGACAATTGGTTTTGCACTCACTATGGTAATAATGGGCACCTTAAAGAAAATTGTAAGGCCAGATTTCAGTCACAGCAGAAAAACAAATCTTTTGCTGTAAAAGTAACTACTGGTAGAGAATCTGGTTCTTCATATAAGAAACACATAATGCCTGCATGGACTAAAAGATCCCTTATTCACCTCTTTCCTCATTACAAGGGACCCAAACTAGTTTAGGTTCCTAAAGCTAACTCCTAATTTCTGAAAGGACGCAACCTACAATGGTACATGGACAGTGGCTGCTCAAAGCATATGACTGGAAGTACAAATGATTTCCTTTCACTTAAGGCCCTGCAAGGAGGGAGTGTATCATTTGGAAATGGCAAAAAGGGATACATTCTGGGAGTCAGAAGGATTGGGAAGTTTCTCTCTCACTCAATTGAAAATGTGTACTACGTGAACGGATTGAAGTACAACCTGTTGAGTGTTTCCCAAATCTGTGACAAGGGAAACAAGGTGGAATTTGTGTCAAAAATATGTACAGTCACAAACCTGTAACTGGTGAGGTGGTGCTAGTGGCAAAAAGATACAAGAATATCTATGTAGCTGATTTTGAGTCTCTGAAGAATGGTGATCTAAGCTGTCTAAGTGTTGTTGATGATGATGCTGAATTATGGCATAGGAGGCTCGGTCATGCAAGTTTTCACGATGTTGAATAAATTAGTCAGAAAGGACCTGGTTTGTGGTTTGCCGAAGTCAAGCTTCAAGGATCACAAATTATGTGTTGCATGCATAAAAGGGAAGCAAGTCAGATCCTCATTCAAGCCCTAAAAGGAAGCCAGCACCGCAAGGCCACTGAATCTCCTTCACATGGATCTATGTGGACCTATGAGGGTGCCAAGCAGAGGAGGAAAGAAGTACATCTTTGTGATAGTTGATGACTATTCCAGATTCACCTGGACTTTGTTCCTCAGGATCAAGGATGAAACCTTTGAAGTGTTTGTTGCTTTTGTCAAGAAGATCCAGGTGAAGATGGGTAATAAAGTAGCCTGCATCAGGTCTGATCATGGGACGGAGTTTGACAATGTCAAATTCGATGAGTTCTGCACTGAAAATGGCATCACTCACAAATTTTCAACTCCAAGAACACCTCAATAAAATGGTGTCGTGGAAAGGAAGAAAGAACTCTTGAAGAAATGGCAAGAACAATGCTAATTGACAGTGGGATCTCAAAGTATATCTGGGTAGAAGTTGTCAATACTGCGTGCTGCTTGGTGAACAGGTGCATGATCAGGTCACTTCTGAACTAAACTCCATATGAACTGCTGAATGGAAGGAATCCCAAGCTGACACATCTAAGAACTTTTGAGTGTAAATTCTTTGTTCACAACAATGGAAAGGAAGCTTTTGGAAAGTTCGATGCTAGAAGTGATGAAGGAATCTTTCTAGGATACTCATCTCAAAGCAAATCTTAATGGGTATGCAACAAAAGGACTCAATGTGTCGAAAAAAGCATACATGTGATCTTTGATGAAGCTCACCTCTCCTGTGAGAAGGACAGACATGTTGATCAAGATGGAGAACCCTTATCTGTTCCAGGTGAAGTAATTGACATGGCAAATGGAAAGGCAGACATGATGAGCCATGTCAAGGAATCCAACGAAGATGATGCAAATACATCTCCATCCATTGGAGAGGAACCTGGTCCCCCAATTACAACAACTGAAGCTGAAAAGAGACTTGTTGATGCAGTCCAAGGAACTCCACTTTGTGAAGTAAGAAGTGCCCAAGAACCCCAGTCAGACATACCTGGTTCCTCTACCAATGAGACTCAGGCACCAAATTGGAGATTCAAAAATTTACATCCTCTTGACAACATAATCACTCCTCTTGACTCGGAAGTGCAAACCAGATCAAAAGAAAGAAACTCACTTGCTTTCTCAGCCTTTCTCTCCCAAATAGAGCCCAAAAATATAAAAGAAGCATTGAAAGATGCAGACTGGATCACAGCAATGCAAGAGGAGTTGCATCAATTTGAAAGGAATAAGGCATGGCACCTGGTTCCTCGACCTGCAGACCGAACCATCATAGGAACCCGATGAGTATTCAAGAACAAACTTGATGAGTTTGGAAATACAACAATAAATAAGGCAAGGCTTGTAGTTCAAGGCTACAATCAGGAAAAAAGGGATTGATTATGATGAAACATTTGCTCCAGTAGCTCGAATGGAAGCCATTAGAATTGTAATTGCTTTTGCATCTCATATGGAGTTCACACTGTTCGAAATGGATGTCAAAAGTGCATTTCTAAATGGCTATCTGAAAGAAAAAGTCTATGTCAAGCAGCCTCCTGTCTTTGAGTATCACGAGCATCCTGAGCATGTGTTCAAACTGGACAAGGCATTGTATGGGTTAAAGCAAGCTCCCAGGGCCTGGTATGAAAGGTTGTCGAAATTCCTTCTAGAAAATGGGTTTACAAGAGGAAAAATTGACAACGCTTTTTTTCTAAAGAAACGAGGGAGGAACCTGCTCATTGTGCAGGTGTATGTTGATGATATCATCTTTGGAGCCACAACTGACTCTCTTTGTGAAGAATTCACAAAACTCATGGAGAGTGAATTCGGGATAAGTATGATGGGTGAACTGAATTTCTTCCTAGGACTTCAAGTGAAGCAATCTCAGAAGGGAACCTTTATAAGTCAACAGAAGTACATCAAGGAGCTGCTGAAAAGGTTTGATGTGGAAGCATCAAAAGTCATCGACACTCCCATTGCCACAGCCACCCGTCTAGAAATGGATGAACCTGGTTCCCTTGTAAATCAGACCATGTATAGAGGGATCATAGGGTCACTCCTGTATCTCACTGTAAGCAGACCAGACATTGTTTTCAGCGTGGGTCTCTGTGCAAGGTTTCAATCCTATCCAAAGGAATCTCATCTGAAGGCTGCCAAGAGAATACTAAGATATCTCAAAAGAACGCAGGACTTGGTCCTTTATTATCCCTCAGGTGACAGCTTAATCTTATTGGACATGTTGACGTTGATTATGCAGCATATCTGGTGGACAGGAAAAGCACTTCTAGAATTGCACATTTCCTGGGTTCCTGCTTAATCTCATAGGGGACATGGAAGCAGAACTCTATGGCACTCTCCACTGCAGAAGCTGAATATGTAGTAGTTGCCTCTTGCTGTGCTCAACTTCTATGGATCAAGCAACAGTTGGAAGACTTTGGAGTGTTCTCAGACTGTGTGCCTCTCTTATGTGACAATAGAAATGCACTCAACATGGCAAAAAATCCAGTTCAACATAAGAGGACCAAGTACATTGATGTACGTCATCACTTCCTCAGAGACAATGTTGAAAAAGGGTTTATATGCATGAAATTCTGCAGCACTGAAGATTAAATTGCATATATATTCACCAAAGCCCTGAGCAGAGAACACTTCGAGCAAAATCATCTGGCATTGGGGTTGATAAAACCTAATTGAGAACCTGGTCCCTCAATGATTATCTATGAAAGAAATGTTCAGGTAAACTCAGCTAAAAGGTATTTTCTGGCAAAGTCTAACTCATCTCTATACCGTTACAGGTAGACACGCTTGATGATTACAGAGCAAATAAGCAGTCGAGGTTGTATACACAGGTTAAAAGGGCAAAGCTTACAGATAAGAGATCAGTTAGGGAACCTGGTTCTCCTAACACAGGTTAGTAGTTTCTCTGTTCTCTCATGCACAATTCTGAACAATTAAAACAAGTGCCACATCATCAGCATGTCAATTTTTAGTTCTGTGTCTTTTGAACCCAAACGTCCCACCGATTATTAATCGATCCAATTCCTTAAAACCTGTCGCCCTTTTCTAACCGATCCCTCTTTCATCATAAATACATCTATCTATGTCATCACACTCCACACATCAACACTTCCAAACCTGTTCCCCATTCTTTCTCTTCAGTTCACCAAATCTTCTCTCTTCTTCTCACCATGGCCAAAAATTAAATAATTTCTAGTATCACCGAGTCCTCACCAGTTGAAACACTAATGCTAGACTCCCCTCCTGACACTACTGATAACTAAAACCCTAGAACAGAGTCAACCCCACACTCCGTCTCCTCTCCTACCCATTCGAGTTCCAGTTCTCAAAAGAGTCACAAAGCATCAACTCCCACAAGAGGTATTTCCCATAGCTCTTCTCTTACCTCGCCAGAAAAGAGGGATGACACGAGTATTGATGAGAATGAAGAAAATCGGAAAATGTCAAGTTTTCCTATAGAAGAAGGGTCAAAGGTAGACCAGACTGAGGAAATGAAATCGTCGACTCAACAAAGACTGCTCCTGAACCCCTGTCCACAGGTACTGCTCCTACTTCTCCTGAGTTTTTCATGAATCTACAAGAAAAGTAAGCCATAGAAAATATGTTGTCCATCGCCAATGAAGGGATTTTTGTCGAAGGAAGTGAGGATGGTCTTAAGACTCAAGGGGAAGAATCTAAGCCAGTTGGAGAGGATAATGAGCTTGTGCATATTGAACCTTTAGCACAGGAAGGTGCTACTGGGGAACCTGCTGGAGGACCTGATCCGCCTTTGGAGGATCCAAGTCCTTCTCAGGAACCCATATCAGTACTGACTCTGCTCTCTTTCCTCATTTAGATATTGAGCCTCTAAGTGTGATTATGCTTGAGACAAGCCCCATGTCTGAAGAACAAAAAGAGAATAGTGAAGAAGATTCTGATGATTTACCAATTGCCAGTTTGCCTAGGCGTAAAGTAGCTGTTGGTGAAGAGCCAACTCCCAAGCGACCCACAACAAGGTTGCAAAAGAAGGAGGCTCTTGAGTCTGCTCTGAAGAACAGTCAAGCGAAGTCACGGAGAAGAAAATTAATGAAAGATGGCAAAATTGTAAATGAGAAGATAGTGCCTGTTGTGAATGTGGATGAAGAAGAAACGGAGGAACCTAGTACATTGACTAGGAAGTTATCATAAAAGCATGGTCTTCTCAAGCCAAAAGGGGGATTTTCTGTGTCTGCTAAACGTTTGACTAGGTCTGATGATGCTGTTGCTACTGAGAATGTGGAAAAAGAATCAGGTGAAAAATCTGTAAAGTCTGATAAAAAGGAGAAGGGCGTTCACAAGACTGCCAAGAGAAAGGTTGATACTAAAGAGGAACCTGGTTCCTCAAGGAAGGCCAGAGTTGGTGATCCGGGGAGTGCTGCGAAAGAGAGATTGAGAAGTCAAAAGGTACTATGGGGACGCACATTTGCCTCTGATGTCTTGGGGGAAGCTGGTATGAGACAGTTAGTTGAGATCTGTGATTTCCAACAATGGACACACTTGTTCACAAGTGATACTGCTAGGGTATATGGGGAGGAATTTCAAAGTTTTTATGCCGACTTGTTCAAAGTTGAGGATGGTCACATTTGTGCCTTGGTGAATGGGGTTGATATGGTAGTGGACTCCGCCTTGCTAGGATCTATTCTTGGTGTGCCTACTGAAGGGATGTCTAGTGTTCAGAGAGCTTGTACTCAGAATTTTAGAAACGCAATCTTGAAGGACATAGCAGTTTAGCAGGGGGAACGGGTTCAGAAGAAGGACCTCCTTCCTGTTTACCAACTGCTATTTGAGATGGTAAACAAAGTGTTGCTGCCTCGAGCTGAGCGAAGATCCATCACCTCTCGTGCAGACATGTTCCTCATGGAAGCACTGGACAATTTCACTACCATCAATCTGCCTGGGATCATGATAGAGCACATGAATAAAGTGGCAGACTTTAAAGATGGTAATCATGGGCTGCCGTATGGGTTCCTTCTTAGTAAGGTCTTTGAGCACTTCAAGGTTCCTCTCGGACCAGTTAAAGTGGGTGCCAAGAAGCAAGCTTTTTCAAAAGTCACTCTTGAAAAATGCGAGTGTATAGAGAAATTTAGAGGGATTGCAAGCACTTCTACCATATCTCAGTTAATAAATGCTCAAAACAGTGCTACTACTGAGATAAGGCAATTAAAGGCAAGGAATGTTATCCTCGAGACTCAGATAAGTCAGCTGCAAGAGGCACCCGGCTCCACTCGCTCTCAAAGCGAAGAAGTTGCTCGCCCGATAAAAGTGAACACTAAGCTCAGGAAACAAGTGGAGGACCTGAAAGAGAGACTGCTCAACGAGAAAATATCA